CCCCAAAACCCCAAAACCCCAAAACCCCATGTATAAGAATGGGTGTGTGATGTGCCAAAGTGTGTTTAATAATATTTCATGCTAATTACAGAAATTAATAGACTTTAATTACAATTGGGTACGATGATTATTACAATACGATCCAATAATTTTTATATTATCCAACTCTTAATCAAGTTCTTTTTTCCTACTATTCATTCAACTCTATATAAATGCTTCGACTCTCTACTTGAGACTGAAGCTCTCTCCACATTTTATTTATTATGTTAATCCTGCATTTGATATTCATCCATTTTATGATGAATATGATAATTTCACTCATCAGAATCAGATACCTTTAACTCTTCTAAAATTTTCTCAGAAAACCTGTTGAAATTTCCTGTAACCTACTGTTAGTACTTCACATTACGGTTTGAGTTATCATCAAAATTTGCCACTACACTACTACTTTCATCAGGGTTTTGTTCTTGATGCGATTTATTCATTAGAGACATTTGTAATTCGAAGGACTTAGCCTGTTCTAATTAACCTAGTATTCCATAATATCGTAGTTTATGATTTCTCTAATTATGTGTCATATTATCTACGATAGTTATATATCTGATTGATAAGAATGAGAGAACAAAGCATGAAATAATTGAAAGCAATATCAAGAGAGTAACTATGATTTGTAGAGCCTCAGTTTCTACAAAATTGCCTAAAAACACTCCAAAGTTTGATTCTTATTGTGTATTTGGGATCTCGTTCTATGCCCATGATAATAACTAGGTGAATAGTATGATTCTAGTAATCACAATTATGATATAGAGTCCGAGGAAGGCTTTAGTGAGATTTCTTACGTTCGCAGAGGTTTTAGAATTTTGTTAATTATCAAGGAAATAATATATCCCAGATGCCTGTGCAGCTAATAAGAATCCACCACTCATTTCAATAATATATAAGGCTGAACTTAAATGCTTTAAAGTGTTGCATGCATGATTTGGTTCCAAGAGATTGCATCCTACTCGAGGAAAGTAAAATGGTGTCGATGACAAACCCACACAGTCATTTAGGATGATAAAGAGTGAAAAAGCCAGTAGTAATTGTGCTATTCTTTTTAGCCTTAGTAGAAATAAGCTAAGCTATTTCTTATGAAGCAATTCCTCCTGCCGATTATAAGAAGCTTTACCAACATCAAGAAGTCCATAGCGCTACTCATGACTGATCTCTAAATCTTTTAGAGGCGATTTCTAATCAAATAAAGACATTAATTTATTATTAATCTTTATGCAATATTCTTATTTACTCTTGCTCAATTTTAAATTCTACTGTTTCTTTTCAATCTTCACACACGGGGTTTTGGGGTTTTGGGGTTTTGGGG